CGGGACAGCACAGGAGGGGAAGACCCTCTATGAGATGGATTGATTCGGTGACTGGGGTAATCGGGATGGGTGTGTCAGAGGCGGTGCGGTTGGCACAGGATGGAGCAGGGTTTAGAGCTGTTGTGCATAGGGTCGCTATGAGTCGTAAACGACTTGATGGCACATAACAACAACAAGTCTTTCCTGGGTTCCTGACCCTTAGAAACTGCAAGATAACAATTGTTGTTTTATGTTATTAAGGTTTGGGGTAATCTTTTAGGCAGTAATAATGAATACATTCAGTTTTTCTCTGGGGTAGCTTTAACTACTGTCTAGATTATTTTGTCTGTAAATTCATAGTTATTCTGGCTGGTAAATGTACTAAAGAAAAGCTGATGGCCAGAATTTAGACTGGTCTATCACCTGGAGATCAAGGGTTGATGGGATGTTTAGGGAGAAGAGCCAGAGAGTAGACTGTTACAGGCAGGACAAAAGCACAATTATTACTCCCATCTGCTATCACACCACCTGATAATTATCTGTCTTACGCTTCATCCTGAAACTCTTAAAACAAAAAAATTTTTAAAAATTAAAAGAAATTCAACTTTTAGAGGAGGCATGATCCTCTAGGTATAATCCACCAGTCTTGATGTCTAAAGAGAGAGAGAGAAACCTCTGGTTGATCATTTCTTACCCCTAGAAAGGTTCTGGCTACCCTGATAATAGCCCCATCGACAATGTACCAATGATCTGGATTATTTCTGTAGTGTGAGGGGTGCAGGCAAGGTTGGAGCTAGAAGTTAAAACAGCTTTTCCCTAGCCCATCTTTTATATGCTGCTGCTAGCCATCTGCCTATCCAAACACATTATCAGCGCCTTCCATTTTTCTACAGGTCTCTTATAGTTGTGCTTCAGTTTCTGGAATCAATGTTTCCTTCTAGTCTACAGAAGCTTTCACTGGTTTATGACATTGACAGAAACCAAAAGCCCCAACTATCCTAAAAGAATAAAAACTATTTCTGACCTTCTGGGTATCTGAGGCTCCTATTCACAGAGAGGAATCTTCGAGCTCCCAGAGTTTGCAAGGACACACACACAGAATTTACTTGTCTGACCCTCCAAATATCTGAGCTCATTAGTCACAGAATGCACTTCCTTGACTCTAGAGAATGCCAGCCTGTTACTGACAAATGGAGCATTGTAGGTCCTCAGAGACCCAAGATACCTTAATACCTTGGATAGCCCCACAGGAGGTCTGAGCCTTTATCCACTGACAGAATGCCTATTGGACTGACAGTGTTTGAGCACCCTAGACACAGAAAGGTCTTGTCCTGCTACTCAAGTTACTGTGCCTTCATCTGAGGAATGGTTAGCTTCTTCTCCAATATTAGGGTGTAATAATAGCCTTTTAAGGGTCAATCAGCTTTTTCATGGTATTCATGTGGGGGGGGGGAGAGGTTAGAAGATGGCTGCCTTTAATGACCTCCTCATCGCTATTAGTACTGCCCAGAACTTGGTGAGATCTGAAAAGACCCCAATTAGATATGACTTATTTCAAGGTCTGAGTTTTATTCAACGCTTAATTTGTTTAAGTCAGTGGGTTGGAGAAAGGAAATAAATGGCTTCTATGGCTGAAATAGTTAAGAAAGGTACCCATAAGCTCGACACTCAGTTTAGGACCTAGATTATTGTAAAAGCCATAGGTATGGCAAAGCCATAGTTCTTCAAGTGGACCCCAAAATCAGTGACAAAACAGAAGCCTTATTTCCTTATTTAGAGCCATCAACATCAGTGTATAATACTGAGAATAATAGAGAAGGGTGTAGAGTCTATGGAATGGCATTCATTATGTAGAATTCCAGAAGTGGGTAAGTGATTCAATATTTCTTAGCCTATACTTCCCAATCTTATTGAACCTTGCTCTTTTTGAGCCAGGAACTCTCTCATTCTTCTCTCCATTCAGAATTCTTTTTTTCCCCCATTCAGAATTTTTAAGTTAAGAGGGCTCATTCTTAAAATATACATTCACAGATGTAATACAAATGCAGAAGCAGACAGATGTACCAAAGTAATTCAGGCTTTCCTCAGTCTCCAATCTGAGCTCACCTTCTAGAATTGATTGTTAAGTGTCCACTTTCCTACCACTGGGGAAGTAGGAGCCACCCTCCACCAAGTATAAGTATTTTATCTTCGTAAGATAAATACCCCCATATGGGTACTGTATCTAAAGCAAAAATGGGGAGGATGCAGAGAAATACACAGACCACACTGACTTTCATGTGAACAAAGTACAGTTGTCAAAAACAAGACAAAACAAAACCAAAAAAAAGGTTATGGCCTTTTGGGGGCAGTGCCAAAATATAGTCCTACACACTCAGACCTGAGGAGAGGGCCCCACACTCCAGCAGGTCAAAAAGGGCTGGCAGTCAGGCAAGTGAGATTTCATGTGTAGGCCCTCATGGCAGAGAACAGAAAGCTGGTAGAGCTGATGGTCAGCCAGGGATCAAGATCAAGCCATGATCAAGATAAGGCTGTAGCCTCAGCCCCCTCCTCTGAATCCCACACTTCTGACTGTAGATAATCAGCAAAGAGAGCCTTGGCCCGGCGCAGGACACGCCCCAGATGGTGTTTTCGCACAAGCCGGTCAAAATGCATGGCCAGCTCATTGTAATCCAGACCATTACGCATAATGTGATCACGGTGCTCCAACAGGATGGCGAGGCAGAGAAAGAGCATGAAAGGGTTGCCCCGGCCAAACTCCTGGGGTGGAGGTAGACCTAGGGGTGGTAGAAACTTCACAGGGTCTTTTGAAGAGCCTACTGCTTCCATCAAGGGAGATCCTGCAGCCACATCACCAGTAGGAGAGGCTTCCTGGGTAGATGGTGGAGATGAAGAGGATGGAGAGTCAGGGTGTGAAGAGGAGGAGAACAGTGGGTCTGGGGAGTTCAGCAAGGGCTCAGAGAAGGACTTAAAGCTGATGAGAGTAGTTGGACATGATAGCTGGACCAGAAGGTCCCCTCTACTGGTATCCCTGAGTTGCTGAAGGTCATTCAGGCTGGTCTGTCTCAGGAGACGCCCCCCACTCACAGGACCCTGGGTGGTTGTGGCTAAGTGATCAACAACATCTTCAAAGACACTACCTCCTCCACCAGTAGGCCTCAGCATGTGCCTCTGTCGCATGGGCTGCCCCTTGTGACTATTGAAGTCAGTGTCTATCACTTTACTGGGGGGTCCAACAAGCTCAACCTCATGTTCAGGAGGATCTGGGGGCAATGAACTCCAAGTGACTTCAAGCATGCGGAGGGCATCATCAAAGGCGAACTCGCGCTTGAGCTCGAGCAAAATCCAACGGTAACAGAAGAAGAGGTCATCAGCACCAGCTTCTTGCAGGTACTCGTAGAATTCAGGGTCAGCATGCCGTAGCAGCAGCTTGAGGTGGGCAAACTTAGTAGCCATGGCATGGCCATCAGGATGAAAGTTTGCAGACAGACGCTTCATGATGCCACAAAAGCAGACAAAGGCATGACCTTCATGGTCCATGACAGCGAGAATGGGTGAGGCAAGGTCACTCATGCCCTGGCAGTAGGACACCTGTGGATGGGTGACAGCATAGGTAGTGAGTAGGTCATGCAGTGCTCGCAGGTGTGGGCCATCCTCAGGCCCTGCATAGTAAGGATGAGCCCGGTCAGTACGCAGCACATCCTTGAGGACTGTGCTGCGGATGAATTCCAGATCCTCAGGACTTGCCCGTTGTGCCCACTCACTCTTGAGCTGTTCATATTCACGGCTCTTGCGTTTCATGTAGTCCATTCGCTCACGGCCTGTCAGCCCATCTGGATATACATTCAGCAGGTACCGCCACACCACCTGTCCAAAGACAGAAGAGATGAAGTTGAGGTTCTACAGATGAGTTACCATTGCCTCAGTGTATATTCATCACCACTCACTTACCCTCCTGAAAAGTCTGGTTACCTACCTCTGACTCTCTTATCATCTCCTAGAGGGAGAGCTTCCTGACATCCTATCACTCAACAATGTGGTAAACTGCATGGGCTTTTAATGACTGAGAAAGAAAGTGAATGAGGGGGAGTGATGGCATTCAATGAGCAACTGAAGAGGCTCACCTTTCGCAGAGAGGGCTCAACACCACCATGATAGATACGAAGGCGCAACTCCTCAGGGCGGGAGAGCTGGCCCTCATGGTTCAAGTACATGTGAAACTCAGCATCACTCAGGGGTGGCTTGAAAGGCTTGACATCTTCCCCATATGACCAGTTTAGCACCTGTTGGACCTTAGATATGGTGCGGCCCACCTGTGAAGTAAGGAGCGAAGCAGATCACTTGTGAGATGGGTGGGTTAGGAATAAACACCCACAAGCATGCTATAATCTGGGGTACTGGGGCTTCTGAGGTCTGCCAGGTAGGACTTGTCCTCCAACCACAGATGGGCCCCAGGAGTCCTGAAATCACCTGAGAGAGGATGGACTGTGTGAATGGTAGGGCAGCTGTTGTCAACGATGGTCGTTTCTCAACCAGCAGCATGTCAGAGCCAATGACATCCTTGGGACTGATTATGTCCCAGTCTTCCAGCAGCAGGCCTGGGCATACAAAATGAAATCATATGGGACAGAAGAATTGATGCCTTTGAGTTGAGGTGTTGGAGAAGAGTACTGAATATTCCATGGACTACCAAGAGAACAAGCAAGTCTGTCTTGGATGAAGTGCAACCAGGGTGATCCCTAGACTAGAGGCAAGGATGGTGAAACTCTGTCTCACATTCTTTGGTCATATTGTCAAAGAGGAACCAGTCCTTTGATATCATGCTGGAAAAGGTAGTGGGTCAGAGAAAGTGAGGAAGACCATCAATAAAATGGATTGACATAATGACTCTATCAGTGGGTTCGAGTATATCAGAGATGATGAGGATGGTTAAGGTTCAGATCTGTTCATACTTGACTAGATGGCACCTAACAACAACATAGGGCATGTGAATTCCCTTTTCCTATGTCATCAAAAACATACAAGAGATAAAATTATTAGTGATTCTTTTGTAGCAACCATGTCACAAAATGACTGAGAAGCCTTGAAAATGTAATACTTGAAATTATAGAAAATAATACTATTTGTTGAACATTTACTATGTGTTATGTGCTTAGCCTCAATATATACATATAAAAATAATAACAGATAACCCTTCCACAATACTAAGAACAAGAAATTGTTCTGGGCCCTTTGCAAATATTAACTCACTTAATGCTTACATCAATTTTACGGGGCAGAAATTATTGCCATTTTTTTATCTTAAAAGCTTTATTAAATAAAATAAGTAAAAAGTTTACTTTCAAAAAGCTACTTGTATTTAACATGATGATGCCAGAGGGGAAGTGGGGGCTTATTTCCAAGGGTGGATGACACAAATGCAATGACACAGTGAACAGTTTCCAGCCAAAAGGAATTCTACTTCAGTGATATCACAAAAGTCCAAAGTACTAGGAAGATGTCCAGCAGAAGACATGAGTCTATGTGCCTCACACGCTCATTCTTGGAACTTCTACAAATTTTGTATCAGTCCCTTTTAGAAGGAACTTTGGCTCAATAAGTACATTAAAAAGAAGCTTGAAAAATATCCCATCAACTAAAAATTGCCTCCCTTTATGTTGTTGTTGTGTACTGTCAAGTTGGAACTGACCCATAAGCTGACCCTTCAGCGGGTTTTCGGAGGCAGTAAATCACATAAGAGGAGACTGCCCATCCTTCTCCCATGGAGCACTGGTGGATTCAAACTGTGTGCCTTAGGGATTACAGCACACTCTTACCACTTGGCCACCCTTAAGTTTTAATAGACCTCAAAATAATCACTTCTTGAATATCAAACCCAAACCCAAATCCACTGTTGCCAAGTCAATTCTGATTTACAGCAACCCTCTTGTGGATTTCCAGGGCCTTACATCCTTATGGGAGGAAACCGTCCATAGTTCTTCTCCAAAGCAGCTGGTAGATTTGAACTGCTGATCTTCTGGAAAATCAACACTATGTAACCAGGACTCCTGACATGTTGAAATAGTAAGATTAAAAAAAGAATAAGCCATTTATACAAGGTAATGTAGGAAAGCATGAGTTCTGAATGAAATAAAACCATTTTAAAATGGTTTCTTGAAATATTAAATTTTTTTTATTCAATGACACCTGCTATGGTTCATCAATTACACAAAGGGTAAAGGGATTTCCCTTTAAAGTGATTCTAAATTCATGAAAAGGATAAATTTGTCTCTTTAAACACTTCATTTGTTTTTTAATGACTTGAAAACATCTGTTTTGGAGTCTATTGATTTCAAACTCCAAAGGAAAACAGTCACACAGAGGTTTTATGTGCAGTGTAGCCAGTTAACTGTAAGGGCTGAAGGGAGCCAGAGTGGAGACGGTGAGATCTTTTCAGCTCTCACACTTGGCTTTCTTGCAGGCTGGGAGAGAATCATCATCTCTTCCAATGTCCAATGTTTCTTCATTGTGGAAACAATTACAAAAGCAGTTTTTCTTGTTTCTCCATGGAGAAACGCTAATCTGCAGCTGGTGGACATGGCAGCCTTGGTGTTGCTCTCAGACAGCCCAAAGAGCAACCCTAAATTTGTCACGCCATATGGTCCTCTTATTTCTAAAGGCCCTTCTGCAGCACTAGATATAATTACATTCTTTCCTTTGCAGATCTGCATCAAATTGAGGGAATTGGAAATGGTGTACCTTCTCATTGTGGAGTCTTTGATGGCAGGTCTGTAGACAAGTTCAAAACCTATGCCTTGGCTAACTGCCGCATTAAAAGGGAGTCTTTTGAAGTAAAATGGTAGTTTCTCTTGTACAGTTATGCAAACTAAGTCCACATTCAAATATGTGCAAGCAACATGAAATAGTTTTTCTGTCTTTGGGAAAACTGCTACAATATCATACGTGTGGACTCGGGAAGAAGCTGCTCTCAAAACATTGCAGTTAGAGGGATCCGAAATGATAATCGTCAGTCTAGTTAAAATTTAAATTAGTCTTGATTTTCCCTGTACAACTGGAAATGTTCTGAAAAATTCTGAAACCGCTACTGGTTTTTCAATTTCAGTGAGTGGTGTTCTCTACCAGCACGTGCTGGGGCTTCAAGTCTGAACCCACTTGCAGATCCAAATCCACTAACACCGCCACCTTAAAGTCACATGACAGCCAGCGTGCCGGTCTGTGCAGCCGCGGGCATTACCATTCTTTATATAAGGAAGCAGGTATAATCAGGATAAGATACATGCCCAAGACCTCATAGGTTGTTCTTGTTATGTGCTGTCGAGTCACTTGCGACTCACAGTGACCCTATGTACAAGAGCCCTAAACCCTGCTCTATCCTGTGCCAACCTCATTGTCTCCAACACACCTATCCCCACTACCCCAATCACTGAATTGATCCATCTCTCATCGAGGGTCTTCTTCTCCTGTACTATTTATTCCTTCCAAACATGATGTCCCTCTCCAAGGACCAGTCCTTCCTTGCAAAATGCCCAAAGTATGTCAGACAAAGATTCAGAATCCTTGACTCCAAGGAGCAGCCCAGCTTCACCCTCTCCAGGACAAACCTGTTTGTTCTCCTAGCAATTCAACACTCCTTTCCAGCACCACAGCTCAAAGGCATCAATTCTCTTTCTATCATCCCTAGTCACTGTCCAGCTTTCTGATGCATAGCATGCAACTGTGAAGACTATAGCCCTGATCAGGCATACCTTTGTCTCCAGCCTGATGTTGTTGCTCTTCATTACTCTGGAGAGGTCCCTGACAACTAGCTTTCCCAATGCAATTCGTCTCTAGATTTCCTGGCTGCTGATACCAAGAGTGTTGACTGTGGAGCCAAGCAAATGAAAACTGTTAACTATCTAAATCTCTTCAGCATCTACACTGATGCTGACAATTGGTCCAGTGGTGAGAATCTTTGTTTTCTTGAGGTTGAGCTTCTATCTGTATTGAAAGCTGTCAATTATAACTTATTGACTTCTCCAATATGGTTCTGTGTGGTCTATGAGCTATAATTTCAGACTTTGGACCCAACAAAGCAATAAGTTTGGTGTTGAGAGTGTGGGGGACATGTCTGACCTCATGGGAATTGGTTTTGCGTTATTGATGCTGTTAACTGGGACAGTTTCCCTTCGTGAAGCTGTTGTTGTTATGTGCTGTTGAGTCGCCTGTGACTCAGAGCGACCCTATGTACAACAGTCCTAAACCCTGCTTTATCTTGTGCCAATCTCACTGATTTTGACACACCTACTCCCATTACCCAAGTCACTGAATCAATCCATCTCATCGAGGGTCTTTCACTTCTGTACAGTCCCTCCACCTTCCCAAGCATGACGTCCCTCTCCAAGGACTTGTTCCTCCTTAAAACATGTCCAAACTATGTCAGATGAAGCTTCAGAATTCTTGTCTCCTAGAAGCAGCCTGGTTTAACTCTCAACTCCTGGAGCCTTGTTTTTTTGCCAATTCTTTCAGAGCAACTTGAACTTCCTCCTTCATCACCACAGGCTCTTGCTCATACTTGCTACAGTCTTCACAATCGTGTGCTATGCATCAGAGAGCTGGACAGAGACTAAGTATGATAGAAAGAAAATTGATGCCTTTGAGCTGTGGTGCTGAAGAACAAACAGGTGAGAGGGTGAAGCTGAGTTGGTCTTTGGAGTCAAGGATTCTGAAGCTTCGTCTGACATACTTTGGGCATGTTGCAAGGAGGGACCAGTCCTTGGAAAGGGACATCATGTTTGGGAGGGTGGAGGGATAACGAAGGAGAGGAAGACCCTTAATGAGATGGATCGACTCAGTGATAATAATAACAGTCTAAAGCCAGGAAATGTAATGCTGGGATCTGAACTCCATTTATCTTACTGTAGAGAAAGTACTTGTGGAATAGGGATGATACATGCAAAGGACACAATACAACTCTGTTCTTTCTCTCCTTTTATACTATCTACTCACATCCTTTTTCCTGCCTCAAATGTGATGTGACACTTGAATCAGCAGTAGTTATCTTGGGACCACAAAGGGAAACTCAGGAAAATCCTCAGAAATGTCAGCTTTGACATCGTCAAACTGCTAAATCAGTATCAGGAATATTTACTGGCCAATTTTCAAACTCCATTACATGAAATAAAATTAACCTCTCTTGTTTAAGCTATCCCAAGTCAGTATTTCCACGGAATCTATTTATTCTCTTTTCACTGAGCTGAGGGTAGCATATCCAAGGCCACATTTTATATTACTGCATGTCTCACAGGGCACTGAAATCGAAGGTGTCCAAAAGGAGGTCCTGAGATCTATTTTCAGGTACAGCCTCCTCCTCAACAACTCAGCTGAGTGAATAACAATGCCCTGTGAGACCTCATAATAATAATAGTTGCTCAATCCAGAAACCTGAGAGATATTCTTGATTACGCTTACCTCTTCAATTCCCAGCTCAAACCATCACTAAGCCTTTAGAGTTCTATATTTAAAAAACCCTTCAATTTTATCTCTTCTATCATCTTTACCTTGTCACCATGATATCTCACCCCTGAAACTGCCTCCTAACTAATATCCAGTCTCTTTCAAC